GATGGGTTTTGTACAAACAATCCTATATGTGCATGCAACCCTAGATTTGGATCTATGTTTTCTCTATTAGATACATAACTTTATGAACACAATAAGAACCCTAGCTAGCAGGTATATATTTTGAAATTTATATATATGAGTAGATCACATACCTCTTGTTGTTATATAGCAATAACAACACTAATCTTCAATCTCTTAGTCTTGAAAATAAGTGCCACAAGTGTAATACCTCTAATGGCTCACAAACACCACAAGAAAATGGAGAGGCAAGAGAGAGAGAGAGAGAGGAGAGAGAGAGAGGTTAGAAATCGGCTCTAGGAACACTTGGGAATCAAGTGGCCGATTTCTTAAGGCTTAGGGTCTTTATATAGGGTAGAGATTAGGGTTTCAGTCCTTATCCTTATCTAGTTGCTTGCCCACCAAGTAACCAAAAGATAAGCCTTGAAATCCATTATCTTTGGACGATTTCAAGGGCCTTATCTCCCTTGAATTCGTCCACCTCTCCCATAGGGCATCCATTGCCCTAATTTGCAACTATCACATAATTACAATTCAGTCCCTACAGTTTAATTAATTACATTTGATCACAAAATTAATTCCTAATTAATTATTGACCAATATTAATTAAACAAATATGATTTCTCCTTTAATATATTATTCCTATAATATATTAATAAATCATAATAACCTCTTTCTCTATTATTTCTCCATTCAAGTTGCTTTGGTGAAGGCAACCCAAAAGGACCATGTACAACCGGGTCAAGTACTTACCAAATATGGTTACGGGCTTAGACACTAATCCAACATAATCTCCCTAGGCTAAGGCATCACAAATCAGGAAACTCTAGTCCTAATAAGAATACTTAGCCTACTCTAGCATGCATATCATATCATAACATATCTCATAACACATAATGTAAGGGTATTTTTGGGAAATCACCGTTCGGGCGCTGGCTGATCGTACACACTGATTTCCTCTGTTTTGTTCTCAATCATTTTACTCTTGGGAAATACATTTATTTTATAAAAACTTTCCCAAATCCTCAGTTTAAGTTCAAATACACCCAAAAGCGAATCTGAATCCCTCAAACCAAGGCTCTGATACCAAATTGTAACACCGAATTTTTCAAAACAAAATTTTCATTTTTAAAACGTACTTTCATTCATAAATTAGTATCAAACATAATGTATCCACTGTCATCATAGTAAAAACATGTCCCATAATCACATAAACAAAACTCCACGAGTGTGTATAGATCATGTCAGTGCTTTCCCGCGATCATCACTGGTACCTGAAACACATACACAAAACATTGTAAGCATAAATGCTTAGTGAGTTCCCAAAAAATACCATATATAACATATATCAGCCACTCTAGACTGTAACCCTGAATGACCCTCTGGTCAAGTATCTCTGTGGGACCCTCTCAGTCCCATAACTCTGTGGACCCTCTAGTCCTAACTCTGTAAACTCTGAATCATACATAACACAAATCACATAGAAATCACATCACATAATTAGCATACAAGATACTTCGTCACATAACTCTGATTACCACTCTAGGTAAGGTATAGTGAGAAGACTCACCTCGGGAATCTCGGTAAAATCTCGAACTCATAAATACTAGCCTAGCCTCCGCCTAGTCACAATAATAAATTACACTAAATAAATGTCTCTCCACCAAATTGGATATTCTCTCATAAAAATCCCTAGAATTGTAAAAGACCATTCTACCCCTCTACAGGCCCAAAGGCCCACTTGTTGACAAACCCTAAAAGTCAACTGTCTATTTTAACCAAACTCGCCGAGTGCATACGATAAATCGGCGAGTCCCATCGTCCACACATACTCTTCCCTTTCTAAGCCTCACTCGACTCACTGAGTCACCCCCCCCCCCCAACTCACCAGGTCACCACTAAAGTCAGACCCCAGGGCAACCAAGTCCGACTCGTCGAGTCTACATATGGACTCGACGAGTTTTATCCATGGACTCGCTCAAACAACCTCCTAAGGTCAGATCTGCTTAACCAAATCATAGATCTAACCCTTAAACACTCAAAAGTCACGTAAAGGTGCAACCTTTACGTGCATGCAACCCATAACAAGCCTCAAATGGAGAAATAACACTAGAAATGGCAACCTAGTCTCCAAATCCTTATTTGCTTGCAAAAAGATGGAAGATAATGGCTCTAGGGACCTCTCATGGTCCAGATCTGATGTTATTCATACCAAGGAGACCTCATACTCACTAGATCTCATAAAATTATGAGGGAAAAACCCTAAAACTATGAAATCCACCATATGAACGTGAAATGGAAAGAATTATACCTCCAAAGACAATATCTCAAGATGATTAGCTCTAATCCAAGCTCCCTTCGCATTCTAGATGGATCCTCTCTTCTTCCTTTAGCAAAATCACCCTAAAAATGAAGATTATTATAAGCCCTCCTTTGCACTCAAGCCTTCCTCACTCTCTCTAGGGTTTCTCTGGAACAAGGTGGCCGCAAATGAAGGCCATAAAGGTCTTTAAATAGGCTCCCAAACCCAGGGATTAGGGTTTTCCTAATTAGCACCGAGTCGGCGAGTCAGATGCGCGACTCGTCGAGTCCGGTCGCAAAACCACGTCAACATATAAGACTCTACTCAACGAGTTGAGGCACCAACTCGTCGAGTTCCCCCAAAAATAATAATTCAAAATAATAAAATTACATACCCAAACTCCGACAGTTACAATACGGCGATCTTCCATCAAATAACAGACATTGATGTTGCTTCCCTCAGTCATCCTTCGACGTCTCTACCGTCTCCGACCTTGTACATAGCCGATGCCACCCTTGCACAACACTATCGCTTTGCCCTAGCATCGGCGCCATCCCTTTTGCCCCAATACTCGGTGAGACCTTTCTCTTCTGGTTCCATACAAGAAGACTTCTCAGGCCATAATCCTGCTTTGTCATCTCTGCAACTTCGCCACTCTGCCATCGTCGTCCTCTGCCAGTAACAGCAGCCTCAGGTTATAAGAAGTTTTTTTTAGTCGGGTTCAAGAACCACTATGACTGATTTTTTTTTCTTTTCTAAAATTAGATGCTCATATGTTGTTTTCTGATGTGGTTATGTTTGAAACGCATGACTCAAATGTACACAAAATTGCTTGAATGATCTGATAATGCTTGAATGAATTGACGATTTTGGAGCAGAAGAAAGCAGATGAGAGACTGTTGAAATTGAAGGATGATCATAAGGTTTATTACAAGCTATTTTTATTCTTAAAATTCATGAGTGCTTTATGATAATCATATCTTTTGTTAATGTTTTCTGATTCAAAAGAAGCTTAGTGAAATTATGTTGTTGATTGTTGAAATATAGTGTTGCTGTGATTTCTAAAATATGTTATGAAAATCTATGAAATCTAGTTGTTTTTCTGAAATATTGCTATGAAATTGTGCTGAAAATAATGATTTGTTGCAGATATGAAATAATGTTGTTGTTTTTTGTTGAATTTTTTTGGTTGTTTTATAAATAAAAACATTGAATTAAAAAAAATAACACATAAGGGTAAAATAGTCATTTTTATCATTAATCACTATAATTCAGATATTCCAACCAAATAATATTTAAAAATTCATATGTTAAAAATTCAGACTCTATTAGAAAAAATTAAACCTCTTAAAAATTCAAATACTACAAAAGAGCCCTGTGAACAAGTCTTATACACGTTGTATAAGAGAGTTGAGAACAAGTCTTGAGCACGAGTTGCTGACTATTGTTGACTAAGTGAAGTTAGTGTTGTTACATAGGATGTAACAACTGCAGACTTTTTATGCTCAAATGTAAAAATATGTATTGCATATGCAATTATTAATGATATGGATTAAATCATTAATGATGAGATCAACGTTCCAAGTCCTAATAGCTCCAGCATTTTATGCTATTTTTGTATTTTAGCTTTGGACCAACAAATTTTAGTTTCAGTTTGGCTTGTGACTACTTATAATCTATCAAATTTTGCAAAAGACGCCCTCAACTCTGAGGTAGCTAACATTTGACCTACAACTTTCAACAACAATGCATGGTTGTGTTTTTACTTTTATTTTTTTTGTATACACAATTTAATCTAAACTTATAAAAATAATAAATGTGAATGAGGAAAACATGTACGATAATGTGGACCACCAACCCACGTCTTGCAGGTCATAGTTTGTATGGATTTAACCAAAAGACTCGAATGCCTTTGTTAACAAATGTCCTTACCTTTCAAGTCTACAAGCAGTGAAAAGAGGTTTTTTTCACGTTTCTGGCTAATGTATATATAAGGCAGCTGTTTCTTTGAAGTACAATCGCTAAAAATAAATTATCTTGATCAACGAAACAGTAAAACATGTTGCTATTTATTTTTCTGTTTATTTATCAAACTTACCTTATGAATGGATTCTTGAGGGCCGTGATTTAAGGCATGCTTTATTTAACTACCAAGCAAATGGAAGCATTTTCGCATGTGACTGCAAAACTGAAAGCCAAGTTTGTCTCTACATGCTTTCAATGTTTATTTTCGGTAAATAAGGCCTGCTTCAACTCCTATAGACCTCTATGATATAGGTGAGGCTATCCACTTGTCTCGAGACGGAGACTCTACACTCAAAATGGTATAAACTTCACATGCATCCGATAAATTTAGAAATTCTCCTATTATCTGAATAATATATAAATAAACTGTATAAATTGCATTCTAATTAATGTAGGCCTGATTATCAATTATTTAAATGATACTATTAAATGGTCCAAAAGACTGAGAACCACCCGGAATCCGTCTCATACTTTAGGACCCGAAACTAGTCTCATAAATTCCGATTCTGAAACCTAGTGCAAACATTGCAAGTATTGGCCTTATGTCTACTTCTAAATCATATAAATTGAATTATTTCGGATCACCATATATATTACTGCTTCTGAAAAAACATGGGGAAAATAGTTGAGGTTTAAGATTTCATATCAAATATAACTCCTATCAAAAGTTTATAAACCAGTCAAGACATTAAGTACTAAAAATTCCAAAAATTCAACAAAAAAATATGAATTTTATACTGTATTCAAAAGCATCGTCATCAGGCAACTCCAACAAGCTCCACCTCCATCTCATGCCTGCAAAGAGAACGTTTCAACTTTGTTTCTTATTAGTATGACACTATACTATGAAAATCTACTCTCTTTATATATTATGACATTATACTTGTGACAATCTACCCAAGTATAACAATGAAAAGTACTTTGGATTTGATTGATGTTGCTATAATTGGGTAGACTTGTAAAGTATAATAATATAATAAATAAATGAATGAAAACATCAAATTATTATCCGTTAGCAAAGAACATCAAAACTTCTGCAAGGATTACTATAGATATGCTTTATAGAAAAAAATAACTAAGATATAATATTAAACGCCACAAATAAAATTTACCTTAAATCAACACTGCTCTAATGAGATAGTATGTACTGGTATGACAGGCGTGGTAATTGGACACCAGGCACAAATTCATGTAGTATATGTTCTTTTCCCGAAATCAACTTATACATCCAAGCTTCACTAGAATCTATTTCAAATACAATGAATGACTCGTTTTCGTCTTCCTTTAATACTAGAGAACAAACGTGAAACCTCCTAACATTGTCAAATCGATTGAACAAATAGCCTATTCCATTCAGGTCGAGGTTGTATATGACTTTCCAAGTGAAATCTGAATGGAGCACATGGATTCTAAAATCTGTTTTAAATCTTTCAAACATTTTGACTAATAGTTAACTTCCCAATGGATTGAAAAATACTATAAGAGTAATCATAATCGGTCGCATCATACCCAGGTGGAAGAGCTATTACCTGAACTCCATTGTCCAAGATACTGAAACATATCAGGACACCTCTTTGTTGTACCCAGTAAGCATGTCCACGGCAATAAACCCCTCTTCCGAAGTCATCACGAGCGAAGAGTCTTGCTTCCTCCAAAATCGTAGCTGCGATGCGGAATGTGTGGTTCCTGTTCCTCCAGGAGAATAGACCAAACTCTACGGCTTTCGTCTTGTCTCTCCTCTCACCAACGTAAACGATGTCGTAGCTTGTCCTAGACTCTAAGCTATTATAACAAAGAACCATGCCTCTTTGAACCAAGTTCGTATACCTCTCAAATCGAGGTAGAGGTTTAACAAAATTCTTAAGGGGGTTGAACATATAAAAACGACATCCGCTCCTTAGAAGCATCAGACCATTTGTTGCGTTTTCAACATACACCATCGGCTCAATAGGAACATTTAGGGTCAGAAACGGGGGTTGGGTGCGGGGAACTAGAGGAACAAAATCGAAGGTGAGTTGTGGTGTGCGTCGCTCACGTTCCACTAAAAGACCATGAGGATATTGTAGCTCTTTCCCAATATCAACCGCTATGCATTTGTTCACAGCCGATAAGGAAGGTAAGCCCTCCCTGGGTACTCTGAAGAGAATCTCCCGCGCATCGTCGTTGCTTAAATCAACTTTTTCGTCTACTCTTCTGAAGAGTAGTTCGCGTATACGCTCCCGACTCTCGTCGAACGGGTGGGCATTTTCAGGATTTGGGAGCTCATGCTCGTCTGCATTTTCGGGATGCTCGTCGGCGTTTTCGGGAAGATCGTCGGCGTTTTCGGGGTTTTCGGGAAAATCGTCGGCGTTTTCGGGGTTCGGGTTGTGATCAGCTGACATTTTGTTTGAGTTTCGAGAAAAAGGAAAAAAAATAGTGTTCTTCAGAACTTTTCGGAGACGAGGCTAATGAAAGAAAGGGAAAGAAAGGGTCTAGGTGTAAAAACCCAAGCTAGCGTGGGAGATAGGTTTCCTCTGGGATGATTAACCCTAAAGGTCGAATACGGAAATCAAAGGAATTTAAAAATAGACATCCTATTTAATAAATAGTCAAACCATTTTTTATATTAAAACAATATTTAATTATTAAAAACATGAACTTTCTTGATTTTATGAATAATATACTTTATTATTTTAATTATAATAATCTTTTATTTTTTAAAGCAAATTAATAAGTTAAAAAACAAAAAATTGTTACTATAAAATAAAAAGATGATGTATATGTTTGTTAAAATGAAAGTATAAGATAAAAAATAGGGAAAATATTGGAAATACTAAAAAAATAGGGGTATTTTCAAAATTTAGACATAAAAATGAACATATCCGGATATAGACATGCATTCCGCGGAGGTAGCTCCGTAAAATGACAAAATCGTAAATAAATTAGTGTATTAAAAAAAACTCAAAATTTATTCCGCGGAGCTACACTGGATCTCCGCGGAGGTATCTCCGAAGAATGGATCTTCAGTTTTTTTTTTTCCAAATCGATTTTTCGATGTTTATATTCATTCCCCCAACTAATTATTTTCAAGAAAAGATTATGATAGTATGAATTTTTATTGATAATGTTTGGATTGAATATGAAGTGGAAAAAAATTGGTTTTTAATTAGAGATCATTACATAAAAGAATTATTGGAGGAAATTTTTTTTCCTTGAATATCCATTCCTCGGAGCTACCTCCGCGGAATCTACTGTAGCTCCGTGGAATGGATTTTGAGTTTTTTCTTTTGTTTTTTTTTTTAATTTTCTCATTTATTTACGATTTTACCATTCTGCAGAGCTATAGAGGATTCCGCAGAATCCATGTCTATGCCCGGAAATTCAATTTTTTGTGTGTATATTTTGGAATTCAACCCCAAATAATGTCTATACCCGGTATTTTTCCAAAAAAGTATCTTTGTTAATAGTTATTATAAAATATCATTTAAAAAAAGTTAATAAAATATATAATCATTATGGATTGTCTAATTAGTTAAACAAAATGTCCTTTTAGTCAACCACCTTTTTTTACTTTTGGTGTGTCTGGTGTTTTTTTTCCTCCTATCTATTTCTCATCTATAGGTCGCGGTTATCCTCTTCGATTGATATTCAGCTTGCCGTTGCTATTATCTACAAATTAGCTTACCTCAATTATGGGTTCAGTGTTTCGTGGCTTCCCCAAATTGCATTATGGTGTATACATTCTTAAAGCAGGCGATTCACAAGACCTCCAAAGGGTCTGCTTGATCTGCTATACAGAATTGTTGAATTAGATGCTTGAAGTGTGGTTTTGCTTTCACTTGGAGTTAATTCCGTGATGTTGGCTTGGACGATTTTACCCTTGCATTCCTTGTTAGATTTGTTATGACAAGTCTTTGTTTATGGTTCGTTTTTTAGTGGGTGGAAACTCTTCGATGTAATAGTCTTTTGGGTTTCTATTAATTTGGTGCTAGCTCTAGTGCTGGTTTGGAGAATTGGTCCTTTCATTTTTTTCAGGTTCTATTAGCATAAATATATAGTATAGCTAATATTTGAAGCTCGTTTTTCCTTTTCTTCTTGTTATGTTTTTATTTGTAGTCTTTTGTTGTACTATTTGCAGCTTCGTGCTGTTTTTTTAATACATTCTTGTCTTTTCAAAAAAAAAATCACTTGGTTTAAATATAAGAAAAAATAAAAAAATCACAAACCACAACAGATTAAAGTCATAATCTTAAATAATAATTACCAATAAATAAAAAGATTGATTTTTTAATGTTATGAATAAGTAACTATTTTTTTGATAAGTGACAATGTCTCTTAGTTAACATTATCTCTTTGTTAAATGTGTTCCATAAAGTTCTTTTTATAAGAAATACTGATATGCTTTCAAAAGTTATTACGAGAAAAAAGAATATGTTATCTTAGTATCATTGATGCAGGTAGACGTACAAATGCTTCATGTCAAGCATAAATTTAAATTTGTGTTTCTACTCTCTTATATTTAGATGTGAAGTATATACATGCAAACGGTTGACATGACAAGTAGGTCATTTTCTCACAATTTTGTATGTATTCCGATAGTATTAAATGACCCATAACAAAAGCATGTATGTGGTTATTATCATATGATTATAGTTTAACTAACTTTTACACTTTATCTTACTAATATACTATATTAATCCACAACATTTTTAGGAATAGTTTACTTTAGAGACTTTAGGTTTTGGCCACAATAGTTTTAAATGTTGACAATGTTAGTCCAAAGTTTAGACCCTTTAGGTTTTAGCCACAATAATTTTGGGGTTTGACAGTTTTAGTCCCTAGATTGGAGTTTGATAGTTTTAGCCATAAAGGTTTCAAGAATTTGCCACTTTTAGTCAATGACATTTACCAAATATGACACTTCAAGTTTTTACCACATTAGTTTGTGGAGTTGATATTATTCGTCGCGCTACCTTTGATAATCTACTACATCACCCTACTTTTTTCATAACATTATCCACACAGGATAAAAACAACAAACAAGAAAAAATAAAAGAAACACCAAAACATGTAACAATGAAAAAAAATATTTGAACCACCGAGAAGCGCAGATAACCTTCTAGTATATATTAAATCACAAGTACCTTAGGAAAAATAATTTTTTGGCTTTAAGTTTTGGCCACAAATGTTTGCTGAATTTGACATTTTTCATCCTCAAAGTATAACTTTTACATTTTTAAGTTTTGATTAAGTTTTTGTGTATTTAGGTTTTTGCCACAAATCTTTAGAGACTTTGACACTTTTCGTCCTTACAGTCTAAAGTTTTATATTTTGATGTTTTTGCAACAAATTTTTAGTGACTTTGACACTTTTCAACCTTGCAGTCAAAACTTATATATATGACATAAAAATACAAAAAACCTCCTTTAGACTTTGGTAATCATATTTTCCCAACTTTGGCAGCTTTCACACTATAGCCACAACATTTTTGGTTTTTCTCTATCAGTATTTTTTTTGTTGTACACTTTTGACATCTAATTTTAGGGGTTGTCGGCTTTCTCTTCTATTTGTGGCGATCTATACTTTTAACACATCTTTTAAAGTTTGCCGATTTTCAACTTCTATGACATAGTCCAAAAGCGTCAAAGCCAGGTGTCCTTTTCTAGTTATAATCTAAGGGTCATATATATCAACCTATATCATCTTTATACACCATTAGGTTAAACGGTGTGATGTGGATTTTACTGTCGGCTGTCTGACGCGGACAGCTTTATCGGCGATGAACACTGCCGCTCACCCCTATTTTTACCGGTGGTGAAGTACCGGTGGCAAGGATTGGAAAATTGGAATGTTGGATGGATTTGTGACCGTTGCTGCCACTTAATTTTAAATTTTCCTTGCCACTATATATACAAACATAAACCAAAACCTATTCAATCAAACTTATTTTAATTTTTTTAGATCTTTACATACCATTTCCTAAAAATCTTCTCATAAAAATGACAAATCCATTAAAAAATTATAACTAATCTTCTCATAAAAATGACAAATCCATTAAAAAATTATAAGTTATAAGAAGAGTAATGTTTTTATAATATAACAATATAAATAATATTATAAAAAAGTAAAATTCCAAATAAATTTTAATCAATTGTTTTATCATTTTTTAGACGTAAATACACAAAATTATACATGTTAACGTAACACTTAGTTCCATGTATATATTAGAAATATTTGAGGCCCTTGCTAAGCACGGTCCAAGGAAAGTATAATGTTAAAAGTAGATAGATTTTAATATATACAATGCATGAAAAAGAAAAGAAAATGTAAGTATATTGTTATCATCAACAAATACATGAAAGTCCATTGCGATTTTTGAATATGATTTTTTACCTTATGGAAAAACTTATCAACATCATTTGCAGTTCAACTTAAAGACTTTATTTAAATACAAAGTAAAAAGTTTATAAAAAAAAAAAAAAAAAAAAAAACTCTATGGGCTAAATGCTCTTAAATACCATGTAAAAGGTATGTAAAAAACTCTATTGACCGTACTCAAATTCTTTGGGAACCAAATTCAATTTGTAACAGCCCGGATTCCCAGGTATTATTCATTCTTATATTTTTGGTATTTTGTGAGGAAACTCGGCGAGTTGGAGCTCAAACTCACCGAGTAGGATCGTGGTTTTGGACGCGGGTTCGCGTTTGGACTCGGCGAGTCCAAGGAGTGGACTCGGCGAGTCCACGCTGTTTAATGAAACTCTAATTCCCTGGGTTTGGAGCCTATTTAAGGGCACTTATAGCCTCCCATTGCGGCTACCAATCCCTTGAAAGAACCCTAAGAGAGCTAATTTGTTTTGGGAGAGAGGAAGTCACTTTTGGGCCTTTGTATTCCTTGTTTAGCAAGAAGAAGGTGGCAAGAGCAAGGAGGAGGTGAGATTCCAGCAGATCCAGAGTCCAGAGGCTTCATTTTGAGGTAATGGTTCGAATCTCCTTCAGTTTTAGGGTTGATCTTTAGAGTTAAGGTTTTATAACCCCTTTGGAGAGTGATTATGTGAAGCAAATGGTCCCTCTTCGAGTTTGTGCCTTGGATCTGGACTCAAAGAGGTCCAGGGACCTTAACCCTTGGGGCTTTTTGGGTTATTATGGAGTTATTGGACCTAGGTGGTCATTTTTGGGACCAAATCATCTTTTGATGCCTTGTGGGGGTTATATAAGCATCAAGTTCCAAACTTTACGTAATATTCATGCTTGGGAAGGCTAGATCTATGGTTTGGGAAAGCAGATCTGACCTCAGAAGGTCAATAGAGTTTGTGCATGGCATGAACTCACCGAGTTGTTCTTGAGACTCGGCGAGTAGGGTTGGCGTTTCGCGTAAAGTGTTCAGCGAGTGGACTCGCCG